CCAATGGTGTTCATCACAAATACATAAACCCTCTTTTATTAATCAATAAGTAGTACAAAAGAATGTCATAAAGCAAGGAGAAATCAATGTTTTCTCTGATTTCCCTGGAGCTCCAAATCTCCATATTCCTTGTTTCAAAGCTAGAGTTTATTACATAATCTAGAAATTATACACTCTTAAAACTTCTTTACTTTCTAGATCATCATTTGCTTTAGTGTGATAAAGAATACATTGTGACCCCTATATTACAGTTGGCTCTCTGAACTGATCCAATTAAAACTTTAAACAGATACTCTTTAGTTTATGTAAACAGAAATAGATGTAGCTCTTTGATTAACACACCCATAGATACATCTCTCCCTCCCATTAGCATACTATTTTTATTTTAATTATGGATACAGTGTTCTGTATGTATGTCTTCATGCTAGTAGAGGTCTCCAGATCTCATTGTAAATAGTTGTGAGACAGAATTTGGTTGCTGGGAATTGAACTCGACACCTCTGCAAGAGCAGCCAGAGCTCTTAAACTCTAAGCCATCTCTATAGCCCTGACATAGTAATTTAAATGACTTTCTTGTATTACTATAAACAAGCCACAATGAAAAGAGCATTTTTGAATTTCTGTGTACAGTATACCTTTACATACATTTATACAAGATCTTGAGGGTGGTGGTTATTATGCAAAGCATTCCAGGCCCTTGGAAGCAAAGATATGGCTGGAAATCAGTGACACTAGAACTTCTCCTGACATTTTTGTCAGGAAAGCAGCAATCACAAAACAAATACTCCACTGAATCTTGCAGAGACACAGTATCTCAATGAGCTGAGTCACACACAACACAAGCCATGAGCTTCACTTTCATTCAGTCACTTAAAAGTATTCACCGGGGAAGTTCATAGAGGTGCTAGAGAGACTGTATCTGTGGTACCCACACTGTGGTGAAGAATATATTCTAGGTTTCAGTGTATTCACAAGTGTATGAAATGGCGGGAAGCCTGGACATGAGAGATAGTGTAGAGTGTAATAGTTTGCTGGGATGTAATGCATGGTCTACAACCATCACTATGATTCTTCATTACACGATATATGCAATATCCATCACTATGCACACAATTCAGTAGGCTGTGTCTTTCCTGTGGTCCCTGTACCTGCATCTGTGATGTGTTTGTTTCTCTGATGTCCATTAAATCACCCATGTTTTAGAACCACCCCAAAACTAACCAAGATGGATCAACATGTATAAAAAAATGGAAGTATTTATATCACTATAATTGGTGATAAACCCCCCATAGAATAAATTTTAAAGGAGGCTTTAGAAAGTGACTCAGCTGACAAAGTGCATCCCACACAAGCCTGAGGACCTGAGTTTACATGCCTGGGACTGAAATAAAAGCCTTTTGGCATCAGGGCAGTGGTGGCACATACCTTTAATCCCAGCACTCAGGAGGCAGAGGCAGGAGGATCTCTGTGAGTTCAAGGCCAGCTTGGTCTACAAAGTGAGTTCCAGGAGAGCCAAGGATACACAGAGAAACCCTGTCTCAAAGAGAGAGAGAGAGAGGGAGAGAGAGAGAGAGAGACCTATGCAGCCTGTGTCTGTAGCCCCAGTGATTCGGGGTGGGGGGATGGGGGTTGCAGAGACAGGCAGATCCCTGAAGCTCCTTCAGTAAGTATAACGCATACACACACCACAAATACATGCACTCACATTCACATACTCACATTCAAACACGCATGCATATGCACACTCACACACATAGACAGTAATTAAGTTAAGTGAGAAATAAGGACAAAACCATCAATATAATCAATATAACAATTATACAGCATTTATTTGTGCCTGGCAGTTATGAGCTAAGTCTTTTTATCTAATTTCACAGTGCTATAATTTCAGCACAAGCACTAAAACCATAGCACTGCAATGACTCAGTTTCTTGTTCCTTTCAAGGTGATGAACATGGGACCCACAGAATCAAAGGCTTATAGACTGCTCTGTGCATCTTGAAAAAACCTGCATGAATATAAACTATCATATAAAGTCCAGAGACTAACATTTTAATTGATTCCATTTAACATGTAGGGGGAATGAGGGGAGGCAGAATATGAATGAATTTGAAGTACAAAGGCCACGTGAAGTCATGGCAATAATTCTCTCCCATTGATTTTCCTTCTCTAGGCCAGGAATGAGGTTCATGTAGCTTTGAGACAAACCATACGTTCCACAGAGAAATTAAACTGTTCTCATCTCATGAAATAATCCATTAGGTTTATTCTTAAAGGGGATGATTTTTATTTCCTGAAAGGTATTCTCTCTAAGTTCCCTTGGAAATTCCACCTTTTGAATTTTATGATTTCACTATAGATTCTGGAACTGCGTACGCTTTCCCAGTTTAATCTGGCACATTAGATGCTGGTAGTACATGTTCATCACTTGCATTGTGGTTAAGATGAAGGTCCTACTTTGCTTCAGCAAACCTTTTAATTCTCTAGCAACTATCACATTGCTTTTCTTTACCTGGATGGCTTTCTCGAATGGGAAGAAGAAATGACCTGTCTATGCCCTATGCTGAAGAATTCTTAAGAGGGTTGAGTGGGTAAGTTCAACCATTGTCATCTAGCCCAACTGTTTGTAAACCTTTTGTTCAGACATCTCAAAGAAAATAGGAGTAGACAATAGAGACATGTTTACCCAGATGCTGTAGTAATATAATTTTTTTCTTTGCATGCTATAGAAAAAGAAGGAGGCTATTGAAAGTGGCAAACGACAAATAGAGAACACTTTAAAGGAGGGCAATGACATACTTGATGAAGCCAACCGACTTGCAGATGAAATCAACTCGGTCATAGATGTAAGTATTGAATAAAGCTCAGAATGAAGAGAAAGGTGATGACACAATTCCTTCCCACACCAGAAAAAAACTCAGTAACAGAAACCAGAGCCTTTATGTGGTTTTTGGTGAGAATATATTATTGTAGTATAGTGTCGTGGACGTGCCCACCTATTGGTAATAATTAGAACCTAACATTATTCAAGTACTCACTTATGTGAGCTTATGGGTTGGTCTTTTTTTTTCCTTAGCATAGTGACCAGGTCATTCCTTGTTCCTAGGCCACCACTCACCACCTGTCTTATTATCTCATATAGCATTAGTTAAAAGAGAAATGAAAATCCGCAAGCAAACCTTTAGCCAACTGTCTCATATGTTGCATCAAGACGTGCAGGATTAAGGACACAAAGGACCTGAAAGCTTCCAATGATTATCATGTGTTCATTTGTTGCTACGAAGTAAACTTGCAAGAAAAATGGACTTTTCATAGTATAAATTGGCTTCATAAATTTCTGCTTTTATTCCCTATTTCCTCTGCTAGTAGACTGAAAGTTTTCTAAAGGAAAAAAAAATACCAAAGTAAGCATGTGTGATTTTATCTCCTAGAGAAATTAGCAAATTCAAGGAGGCCTGGATGCATTTGCTCTTAATGCCATTTCTTCTCTCTCCATATCAGTATGTCGAAGACATTAAAACCAAGTTGCCACCACTGTCCGAGGAGCTTAGTGACAAAATAGATGACCTCTCTCAGGAAATAAAGGACAGGAAGCTTGCTGAGAAGGTGTTCCAGGCTGAGAGCCATGCAGCTCAGCTGAATGACTCCTCTGCTGTGCTTGATGGGTAAGCTGTGTGTTGTTGGAATTGTCTGCATAGCTTGACACACATCCAGAAGTTTAGATGAGCAGAAAGGGTAGAAAACCACTTTCAAGTCTTGATTTCCGTAATTATGAACAAAAGCGCCGCATGGCTTCTCTATGGAAGATGCTAATTAGGAGAATGTAGGCAAAGATCCTCTGGAAAAGCATCAAAAGTCACAGTTAAAAGTGAATCCAGTTATGCCTGGTTAGGAAACGAACATAGCCTTAGGCTACCCTTACACAATATTGTGTTTTGTTCTTTATTAGGAGGCACCGAGGCTGTCTTATTAGCATTTTAAATAATACATAAACACATTCTGCTTCAAATTTCAATTTTACGTTTCTAATGCGATCTAATCATTTCACTGCTTAAAAATGCCTCGGAATGTGTAGCCTTATAAACAGCCTTTGAGTCTCTGCCCTCCAGTAAGACACTCCGTGCACCTCTCTGAAGTAAGAGTGCTGGATGGCGCATCCCTGTAACCCCAGCACTTGGGAAGTGGAGGCAGGAGGACACAAGTTTAAGGCCAGCTTCAACTACAGTATGCTCAAGGCCAGCCTGATCTATAAGAAACCCTGTCAACAATAAAAAGAAATGAAATGAATAACAGCTCACTGTAGCTGGGATTATCATGTGAGTCAGAAGAAAAAAATGAGGAGAAGAGGATTTGCTTACTAAACAGTATTCTAGGTATGGCTGATTTACTTCCTCTATACTTTTGTGATTGGCACTAAAAGAAAAAACACAGGAGCTATTCATCCTAGGAATAATATTAGAAAATAAATCTATTTAATATGCACCACATGCAAGTCTGTGTTCTCATCTTTGATTATCATTGATGTAGACAAAATGATCAAAAATTCAAGCATCCCATGCACAATTAGTTTAAAAAAAAAAGAAAACTTTGCCCAATCTAGAACAAAGAGTAGTAGATGAATCAGTGGCCAGTAATCAGCAGACCCAGATTCCAAATCTCCCATTAGGGATATATTAGTCATGATTTGGTTTTTTTCTATGATCTCTTTATGCTTTCTGGGAAGTGTGCCTACTCTGAAGACATTGTAAAATTCATTTGATTAATGGGATACAAGTGCTCTGGAAACTGGAGTGTGCTTCACAAATAACAGAAAGTACTGTAATCCTGCATACATTTGCCTGGTCACATGGTTCCAATGCTTCCGCAGTCTATCAGATGTTTAAGATATGGTGTGTGGTGGGGGAGGGCAGAAAGAATGCTCAGTGGGTGAAGATGCTTGCCACCAAGTCTGAAGACCTGAGTTAAATCCCTAAATCTCACACATTGGAAGGAGAGAACTGACTCCTTCAAGCTGTGAACATGTGCATATATGCATTTGTGCGTGCACATGTGCTCTCTCTCACACACACACACACACACACACACACACACACACACAC